CAGCATTGCACAGACAACAGCTTAAGCTCCAAGTGCCTGTCCATCTGTCCTTAATAATGCCATATCAGCAAGCCCAAGATAGACAAGAAGCAGCATAATTAACTCACTCCAGCATCATTCCCTTAGTGAAATGTGCGTCTTCTTGGTAACTTGCTATTGTAATGAGAATTTGGCTAGGAATCCATTTTTCCAAAATATTGTATTCCTATTTTATCTTAATATCTTCTTTGAGCTGCCAGTGTGAGAGGGGGAGTCATTCTAGTGAAGAATTATAGTTACTATTGATATTGTTAGTGCATCTTCAGATTCCTCTAATGGTGCCTGTTGTTGCCTTGTGCTCTGGCAAAAAGCTAAGGTGCTGGCAATTTTTATGGCATGAGTTCCAGCTCCTCAGCCTAAGCCTCCTCATAACCTCCATCACAGAGGTGTGTCCCCCTGTGCTCTTGGTTCTGCCTCAGCTTTAGGCTCTGCTGCCACTCATCACTCTCACCAATTAGAAATGTGAAGCACAGTTCATACAAAGTTCCTATCTTTCTTGACATCGTCCATATATGACTGCAATTTTCTTACATGAACCCTAGGTAGACCTCTACGGATGCCCCTCTTTGTCAAAGCCTTCCCTTGACCTGGGGATCCCATTCTCCTAGTGATTTGGCATAAATCCCAATTGTAAAAAAGAAAAAAAAAAAGGAAAGCTAATCAAGTTTGGAAACCTACCCATAGGCAGTGGTTCTTAAAACTGACTACACATTACCTTTTAAAATTCCTGATACCATAATCAAGTAAGAATTCAGTTCTGCAGGTGCAGGTGGCAAGAAGGAGCTGTGTTGTTCTACATCAGTCTTGACATCTGAAGTCCCTGTGCACCTGATCTCCGGACTGCAACTTCCTGAGTCTTTTGCCCTGGTCTTCCTGTGACACTTGGCCTGCAGTATATCTGTGGTTGGTCTCCAGCGGTTGGTTCCTGCCTCACCTCCACAGGTTGATGGTACCTGTCTTGTGTGAGCAAAGCATGGCAGACCTAGGTTGATTTCTGTTGGTCTCTTCTTTCGTGCAAAGAAGGTTGTCTTCTAGTTTGTTTCTTGGTACAATAGCAAAATTTATTTGTATAGCCCCTGGAAATAACAGGCCTGGCAGTACTTTTGCCAGGGTCATAGGGCTTTGGTTTGATAGAACAGATGATGGAAGGCAGGAATAGGGTATTACAATTCCTCCACTCCCCAGTCCCCAACACACACACATCACCCCACACTCACTGATACATATTGTACTGAACTTTCCTTAGTGGTGCTTTGCCTCTGAAGTCAGGTTACCTCATTGCCTTGGAGATTCAACTCTCAGACCAGCTCTGGAAAGTGATAATTTTGTAGCCTGCCATCTTTTTTCTTATAACTAGAGTGAGAAAGATATCTTTGCATCTCCCTGTTTCCTAAGCAAAAACAGAAATCACCATGAATCATTTATAAAGTAAATCCACTCAAAATGAAGGATACTGTCTTCATAATAGTTCCATTCATCCAAGGAGTCATGCATTTGCCTATTGAATCTACCCCCCAAGTGAATCAGAGGAATTGCACTTAGAGGACTAACTAGTTTTATTTCACAGTACAGTTCTTGATGTTCTACCATCATATTGTTATATTTGCATTGCCTCAATTAAAAGCAAAGTAAATCACCCTCTCTGGGTTTGAACAGCCCATCTTTTCAGAAATGAAATTGTATTTTCCCATGTAAGTTTGTATATCTCATTAAGGCTGTGTAGAATGACAGGAATCAGCTTTACTCTTATTTAGCTAATTTGTTTTATTTTACTTGCTTCATAATATCCATCATGTGATAAGAGCGGGTAGAGGGGTGTACTTTGAAATTTTAGCATACATTTTCTTCTAAAACAGGGTGTATTTAAATTGAGACTGTAAGGCCTTGTGATGTGGCATCTAAAGCTGTTGCCTGTGATGCCAGCCTTCCATATGGGCTTCCAGTGCAGCTCCCTGCTATTGATCCAACCTGCATTACACCCATCCGAAGAGCTCTCTCTCTATCCCTCTCTCAGTAGCTGTGGGTTCCGAAGAAACAAATGTAGTTTGTAACACAACTGATTAACCTTCTACTTAATTTTACCACAACAAAAACTAACATGGATAAGGGCAGAGAGAGCAGTAATAGTTAGGTAAGCATTCATTGGACTTTAATGGATTTGCTTATATAATCCACACTACACTAATCCTGAAAAGTCCTTTTTTTCTTTTGGATTAACTTATTTTTATTGCAAAGACATATTTACCAAAAGAAGAAGAAGAGATAGAGGGAAAATTTTTCTGCTCCCCAGAAAATCACAATGTCCATAGCAGATCCAATCTGATTCAGAAACCAGGGGCTTCTTCAGGGTCAACCACATGGGTGCAGGATCCCAAAATATTGTGTCATCCTCTACTGCTTTCTCAGACCACAAACAGGGAGCTGCTGAAAGTCCTTTCCTAGAGCATTTCTAGAACATTACTAGAAATTCCTTGGACACTGAATAAAGCCTTAAGTTGTGTGAATTCTGACCTTCTTGTGTGATCTCAAGAGAGAGAGACCTTCTACCTGCTGATTCATTCCTCAAATGCCGTAGCTGCCATAGCTGGGCCAGATTGAAGCCAGGAGCCAGGAATTCCTTCCTTGTCTTTCACTTGAATGCCAGAATTCTGAGTATTTGGGCCCTCCTCCACTACTTTCTCAGACAGGTTAGCAGGAAGCTGAAGCACCTAGGACTTGAACCAGGGCTCCTACAGAATGCCAGCATCACAGGTGGCAACTTTACCTGCTGCTCCACAATGCTGGTGTACTAGATATCCTTTAAAGAACGTGAATTTCAGGTACTCCAATAGAGGTTAAGTACTCAGAGTATTTCACTCTAGGGTGAACATTTTTTCCAGATTTTCCTCTTCTACATTTGCCCAGCTAGGCTCTAAACTTCTCCCACCTCCCCACTTCCTGGCCCATGGATGTGATGTGGCACAACAGGAAGTGACAACTTCGTTCGTGTGTGTTCCGATCAAGCAGCTGCAATGAGGTTCTGACTATGCTCCCGAGATCCCCTTAAACTTTACTGTAAATAAATAAGGGCAACATTTATAGATTCCAAACAGTTCCACAGAACGCAAAGCTGTACTGTTCTCAAATTATTTCAAGAATGAGTTCAGGTGAAGCAACTACAGTGCTATTTGGGGAAATTTTAGATGAAGGACAGGCTAGGGCTTTGTTCCGAAGCTGAAAACAATGATGGGGTACGGAATCGGTTCAGGCTAGAGTTGTTTGGGCACATCTTAGACCAGATGTGAGATGGTATGAGCAAGGAGGCCTCCAGCTCAAGACAAGGTCATGTGCTCCAAGGCCCCAGAATGTGCTGGTAAATCGTTACTTAGAAATAGCTTTCTAAGGCTTTTAAAAATTATGTAAGAATTCCAGTTTAACGCTATTCTGAGTTTCTATATTCTTAAGACTTTGCAATACTAAAAATAATTCATTGGGTCTTTTTATAGGGAGTATTAGACCTTTGTCATATACTTTAGAATATTTTTTGTCTTTGATAGTAGAGTTTTTGACCATCAAAATGGCAATTTTTTTTTTGGTTAATGTTTATAAGTGCTTTCTATTTTGGTCAATGACTTTGGTGCTATATTTAGAAAATCTTTCCCACTCTCCTAAAATTATATAAATATTTAACTTTGTCAACTGCAAATGGACTTATAAATTTTAATGCAGTTATACACTTTCATGCATTTAAACACTCAAACTGTTTCATATTAATTTGGATGGATGATATTGGAGAAGGTTGACAAAAACCCCTAATGCTATTTTTTTCTAATGCTATTTAATGAATAAATGATTGTGATCCATTCCCAGTAAAGCTGAAAGCTCATCTAAATCATACACAACATGTCGGTGTGTTTCCTGCGAGAACTGCCATCCTTCACCACAGCTTCCTCACCCTCCTGCTGTCATATCATAAAGTTTCTTTGCCACTACTTCCCTTTCACATTATTTTCTAGTAAATTCTCTCAGTGCTTCTTAAATGCACTTTATTTCTGACAACGCTTAGAAAATTTTGACATGGATTTTTAAATAGGAACAAAATACCTAAGTGAAAATATTGACCTCATTATGACAATAATTCTTCCTCTCTTGAAAAAATTTTAAGAATCGAAGGCAATGAGTTTTCTCTGCAAACTAGAAAGCCTCTTGTAAGTTTATGACACATGAATGAGTTAATTCTATTTCCAATGGTAACATCAAGTTCAATACATCTGCATATCTCTACTTAAATAGTCCTACATGTCTCCATTCAAATTAAAGCATTTGCCATCAAGTGATAACCAAAGTTTCCATGAACCTGTCATTGAGAGAAGAGCTGATGCAACTCCTTTGGTAAACCTGTCACCCATGTCTTTATTTACAGTTAATTAAAAAAAAAAGTTGCAGGTAACTTCATCTCCTTTTGATGAAGTATATAACAATGGCAAGCTTCTGGTAGATTGAGGAAATATCCTTTGTGTTAGTTGGAGAAATACAAAGCATGTCTCGATAGAAATGCAACTCTCTGATGTTCCTCTTTATATTTGTGGAAAATATCTCACCTGTGTTTAAGTCCAGCAGTCCTGGGACCTAGGCCTGCATTAAGGGCCGTGTAACTGCTCCCTCAGAACATGGGATGAGTAAGGACACCATGAAAGAAAATAGGAAAAAAAAAAGGTCTATACGTATTCAGTGAATAATTTTGCTAGGTGCCAGAGTTGATTCAAGTTTTACTTATGTCCACCTTGCGTAAAATATATTTTTGCTAGAATTTGCATATTTAGCTGTTACTATTCTAGAATGGGGTCTTATTCTTCCCAAATTTGGCTGGGAATGTACAACGCCCAAACTTCCCTGGAGTAAGAGTCAGGAGTGAATAACAAGCTCAAATCTGAGGGCTCTTCTATCTTAGAAAAAATAACAGTTGTTCTTTTCCTTTTCAGTTTCTTCTTTGTGGCATATGTGGAATACTGTGCGCCAAAAAAAAGTCAGGACTGATCGTAAGTCTGTGTCATATTTGTACTGTCCCTTGAAGTGTTTGAACTTCAGTTGCAACAACTGAAATGATGATAGGCCAACTTTCATAGACTGAATATTACTAATTTAAGATAAAAAAAGGAGACTGAGATATGAGTCGTGGCTTTCTTGTCTTCCAAGAAAACCATCAAGAATATTAGAGACTGACAAAATCCTAACAACACAAGAAGCTGTGACATATTCCTTAAACACGTAAAAATGAAGCTCTAATCACTGCTGCAGATGACAGCTGTACTTCTCCAGTTCAGAGTTCCCGAAGTGAGCTAACAAAGAAAAGGCACTGAGTCTGTAGGAAATTTAACTGGTTAATTAAAGAATTGAGTCTCAGGAAGACGGACTTTTCCAAACCCGGGAAACTGGTTTGCACAGCAGTGAGAACCCTGTGTTGCTATGGTAACAGTTGATGCTCAAGGATTTGTTACATCTTATTTTATTACAACTGTGAACACACATGTAAGTATTTTCAGATGCTTGCTGGTGCTATCCCAGGTTTCTGGTGTCAGAGACATGCTCACACTTCACCTGACACTGGCTGGAGGAGAACTCCTGGTTCTGAGACTGGGATTCCCACAGTTGATTGAGCACCTCAGGCAAGATCCGCAGGCCTTTACATTCTGGGTACATTCATGTCACCCAAGGGGCCCACCAAGTGGCCTTGGATGTGTGCGGAGCACCCTGCACGGGGAGGCCGGCTTTCCCAGAACGTTAGGGAGTGGAGAGGGCCAGAGTTATTTTCCAATCATGCTTTCTCTGTGAGAAAAACCTATGGCAGCAAAAAAGGAAAAAGTTCTCATTGCTTTAGACAGGTGATATATATAATTTTATAAAAAGAAAAAAAAAAGTGTTATATTGGAGGCTTGCAATTTATATGTATGATGCTTCCAGGCTCTCTAGATAGGACCTTCACTCCATCTGTCAACGACCAGAGGGAAGGAAAGCAGGGAGGCAGGACGGCAGGAAGCCAGCAAAGCAAGAAGACAGAAAAGACTGGAAGTAATTTTTAAAAAAGGAATTAGTGTTCTTTGCTCTTCCTAATTCTCTTATCAGTTATAAAAGAAAAAAAAACATAAGATTCGAACTTTACAGAAAGTAGCAAGCAGGCTGTAAAAACATCCACCAGCACAAGCACATTGTCTTCCACCCTACATCGAAAGATTTTTCTACTCGTTAATCAAATTTTATAAACATTTCTCCATTCCAAAAAGATTCTCCAATCTTCAGTCTGGGAGGTTTAAAAGTACTACAAACTGGATACACACTTAGACACAAATTTCAATATTTTAATTTCTAGGTGAAAATGTTCTGTCAACACATGTTAATGAACTCTCTTGAAAGAATTAATGAGAATAACATCAGGAGAAATATGAGCTTTGCTGTGACAGTAAATTTTAAGAAAAAAATGTGTTATTGCTAATTATCACTCCTGCATTATCTGAGTGCCGGAATATAATATTTTTTCCATATTTTCTGAGAATGAGTAAACTGTGATCAGTAATACCAGGAAACGACATTCTGTCTCAATAGTCTTCCAGATGTAATAAAACTCGTTGGTTTACTTCCAGATGGTGGGATGATTTCGCTATTTGGCGATCTATGTTCAGTAGCACAACCAAGTTGAAAACACTTCACTCAGCTGTCCCTGACTTTGTAGCCCTGATGATAAGCGCAGTGAGACAGATGCAATACATGATGATGGATTTGGTGGACCTACCTGCAGTTCTTTCTGACCGTGATGCTTCTTCATTTGCTAGTTTATATGCCGATGGCCTGGCCCTCTGCTTGGAACTGCACATACTTAGATGAGATGATGTGGTCTCTATGAAGCCTTAAAAATTTTTTTTGATTGGCCAATGCATTCATTATTCTTTCTAATATTCAGCATTCCAGGTTGAAACGCTAGATCTTCTGTCTTACAAGATAGGAGTCAGCCATTTTTTATAATGCAGCAGCTCACTCACATAGGGTCCAGGAGTCGGAGGGCTCCTAGCGCTTGCTATAGTCAACTGTCAACCTCAAGCAATATCTGAGAAGGCAAAAATAAAATGCTGAGGTGAAGTTATGAAGTTTGTTTGCTCCGGGGGATTACTGAAGAGGAGATCAAGGGAGTCCAGGAAGACTCTGTACTGTAATAAAGTTAGGTCTGGACTGAAGCCCTCTGTCAAAGAAGAGACAAAATTATTACCAGGAAACAAAGAAAAACAATATATCATTGATGTGAACCACAGTGTTGCTCAAGAAAAGTGACTGAAATGGAGATGTTGGTCTAAAGACAAGTGAAAGTAAGACTAGATAATTAAAAAAAAAAATTGTATGAGAACCCATAAAATTGAGATCAGGTGTAAAACCAAAATAAAATTACTGCAGTTACTGACAACATTTAATTGTCCTTATTAAATAGTCACAGGACAATAGCACTGTTCATAAAGCACCGTGCTTGATTCTTCCTGGGATCCTCTGGCATCCACACCAAGTCAAGTTCTCTAGTCAGTGGGCAGAAAAACAGATCAAACAGTAAGATCAAAAGCTTCTCTGAAGCAAGGCACCAAGTAGGATTTTGTGAGTAGCAAACAAACAAAAAACACACAGAAACCTGACCAGTTCACATGAAGTCCTGAAGCAACCTGCCAAATAAAGAGAGGACTCAAAGAATCCCATTCCTGCCTCTCATGCAGGAGACCTGTTGGGTGCTGGCTTCCCACTGGGTCCCCAGCTCGGCTTTGGCTGCTGCAGAATTCTGGGGCGTGAGCCAGAGGATGGGAGCGCTCTCCCTCTCTCTTTCTCTCTTTATATTTCAAATGAATCAACAAAAACTTAGAAAAAAACCCACTGAAACAGTAGCTCTCGTGTTTTATCATGAAGCACCTACACCTGTTTACCAAGGGTTAGAAGTAGGAGATGCTGGGTTCTAGTCTGTACTGCTTCGTCTACTTTAACACCCCTCTCTTCTCCTTGCCAGATGATCCTCTTTTCAGCTTGCTGTATCTGTGGACTCATTGGGGGCATCCTGAATTTTCAGTTCCTCCGGGCGGTCACCAAGAAGACGTCTTCCCTGTACCCTCTGCACCTGGCCTCTATGTCTCTGGCTTGCATTGGGATCGGAGGCTGCACCCTGTCTTCCTGGCTCACCTGCCGACTGGCGAGCTACGAGCAGAGAAGGATGTTCTCGGAGAGGGAGCATTCCCTGCATCACTCGCACGAGATGGCTGAGAAAGTGAGTTTCACGCCTTGCCTCTCCCTGTGGTGAAGACAGGGAGATGGCAGGCCACCCTAGATGTACCAGGGTACACCCTAGGTATACCACTGATGGATAATTGCCTCAGGTGTGAGAGTTCATGGGTTTGGCCCTACCAGATTGCACACGGGAATCGCAGCTTTTTCTCTGCAATTCATGAAGATATTTACTTTCAACATAACTTTGTAGTCTTTCTGTCTTATAAGAAATAGTCCCTAAAACTAGCATTTCATAAAATACTGAAAGCCTTATGAATATGGATTTTTAAATATATTTTACCAAAGGAAAACACATAATTAAATACAGTCTCTATTCAATAATGCCAGTTTTAGAAATCGCAAGTCTCTTTTTTAGCTCATCCCTTGTACTTACAAGTAGATGCATTTGATTATGTAAATCAGATCTTCAGCTCTAAAGGGGCCCTTTTAATAAGGCGACCAAAAGCTTTTTCTATCAGTGCAGATGCAATAGTCCACATAAAGCTTCATTTAATTCTCATTTCATGCATAGGAGGATAGCATGGTCTCTATTTGAAAAAAATGATCCTTGTGTTATTGTTGCATGAAGCTTATTCAAACAGGAAATTACATTAATTTCATAGGAAGACAAGCAGTAGAGTGAATTTTCTACATTTCTGTCATGTTTTGCTTGTATTTCTTAATTCAGTTCCTGCAGCTGCATATACTGAGTAAAAGACAACATTTGTAAAACAAACTCAGATATTAGCAGCATTGTCTTTAATTTTATAGCAGGAAAATAAAATTGCATAAGCACAAAGAAGAAAGAACAGCTAGAGTTACTGTATGTTTCTTTATAATATCGCTTTTGCAGAAAATGGTAAGTAGTTACTGTATTTCTACTCTGTGTGCAACCTCTACATATGGAAAGTAGATGCTCTTAAATTGTCCCAGGAAGCCATTAATGTCTGTGCATGCCCTTTTGGAAGAATGAACAATATAAAAAAAATGGAGCTACTTACATGAAGAAATGGGTTAAAAGAGATGATAATGGTCTTGTTTGAATAGTGGTTCATTTGTGTTCTATTTTTATGCAAGTGTGATGCAGTTTTGTGTGTATATTTTTGTACAATATTTATTGTATGACTGTTATATATTTACATTAGAGATTGAGGGCTATTGAAATTACCGACTTGCCCAGCTGCCCGGTGGTGCCCCCGACACCAGAGTTACCTACCAGGTATGCTGATTTCTAGGGAGTTACCATGTTGTGATGTCCTGCAGGAAATGCCGCCTCCCCCAGGAAGCCCTGACCTCAGCAGCTCAGCCTGGCCTGATGCTGTGAGGTTGCTCCTCAAAGTACCAACGTTGGCAGTGTTACCTTGAGGAGCTGAGCTAAAACTACGTGGCACAACCTAGCAGCCCGAACGTTGGTTGAGTATTTAAAATATTCAGCCTGCCTCTTAGCATCCAAGCACATTCCTGCTTGGATGATTCACGACTCCTTTGACTCACTGCTACACTGATTCTGACTCGATACCATCATTCACAGGCCAGAGTTTCGCATTTAATAATAGATGTTTCAGGATAAAAACAAACTGTATCTTCCCTCATGCCAAAATCGCATAAATAGAAGCTTGACATTAATCCAGAAAAAAAAACTATGAATGGGAAATGATCTGATATGATACAATTCAAATTTATTTTCTACATTGCAAATTGGTGAAAATAAGCATAGCTCTAAGTTTGATTAAATAGTTTAATTGGAAATACAGAAAGCCACAGAATAGTGTTGTCCCTTTGCAGAGACTGTAGCCACTTGTAGGTGCCTAGTACCTTCTTATTAATTTGGATATACCTATTGGCAAATAAATTGAAGAGATTCGTTCACGTGAGAACTAACATACAGTGGCCTTTCCCTTCCATAATTTTACTGTGTCCATGTTTGGATGAATTCAATTGAGAAACTCTTTTATTGTCTCAATTATTTTTTAAAAAGAGCTTTTTAAAAAGTCCTGCAATGGGAGTCCAGTACATTGGACCAGCTCTTAAAAGGAGTTTTAAATGGATGTAAGATGTTAGCACACTGTCATTTGGTTTCATTTTTCCAGGATGTTTTTGCAGGACCTTGGTAAGAAATCATTTTAGGAGAGACACGCAGGACTTATTTATTTCATAAATCCAGTTGGGAATCATTATTATTTTGTCCTTTCTTCTGAAGAGATCATTGAGTACATTTTACTGATAAGTCTTTGGGGGGTGATAACTTCTAATCATTTTGCCATCAACAGTGAATCAAGGAAGGACATCTCAGATCAGAGATCTTAATCATAAACTTAACCCCGCTCCCAAAACAAAGTATTCTTCAGATGTATTTCCACCATATATAAATCCAGTAGTTCACAAACACTTCAAGCAAGCAAGCAACTTCTTCTAACAGAACCCGATCACATATTGATAGGAATGAGATAACTGAAAAAATGATTTTCTACTGCTCTTTTGGCAAATAGGCCTAACAGAGACATTATTACTCTATCATTAGGTAGTTTTGGCAATGTATATACAGTATAGTTCCCTAACCATGAGGCAAACCAATGGGCCTCACATCTTACCACCTTTTATTGTACAGTAAAAGGTTTTATTTTAATAAAATGTGTGCAGTAAAAGCACCTACATTTTTCTTAAGCTGATATCTTTACTGCTGTCCCACACAGAACTATGTTCATTTATCCTCTACATCTATGTTTTCATTGTCCTCCCGTGTGGCTTTCCTCAGCTTCTTAGTGCTAAGAGATCTCACTGTTGTTGTTTTTTTTTTAACTGTATGAGTGACAGTGTCGTGAAAAACGGTCTTTTCTACTTTCCAGTGATCTCTAGTTACAAAGGAACAAAGATCTCTTTGTGGGCCCTTTTCAGTTCTCAGCAAAGCCCACCATCTTTCTTAGAATAGAGGTCACCCCTAGAATGTGTTGGCTCTTTGTTGACATGGTCAGCGGAGACCAGGCAGTGGAAAACCTTGGGCACTTAACTGCTTTCTTCCTTCTAGGTCAGACCCTTCATTCAAATCAGAATGAAGGAAAGAACAGGGAAACACAGAGAAAGGAAGAGAGGATGAGGCTTTGGGGGAAGGTGGAGGGTGGAGAAGACTGATTGAATAGACGGTCACCAGCACCTTCACGTATTCCCAAAGGCAATGAGATGTCATGTTTTAAAATGCAACAACGATATCAATTCTTGTCCTTTCCCCAAACCCAGCACGTTTTTCAATGGCTTAAAATTTCAATTTTGCAAATCCATTAACTAAATCAATGTCTTCCTATTAAAGCGAATTTTAATTAGCTCTTGTTATTTTTTTTAACAGGAAATGACTGACAACGTGAGCAATGGAGGACCACAGCTAATATTTAATGGAAGAGTATAATCATATTTTAAAGAACTGAACTTTAATTTTTTTTCTAGGATTTTCATGAGGAAAGGAGATACCAAAGGACCAGGAGACAAATTTAAATCAGTTCTTACACTTGCCTTTGCCTCTCCTGAGTATCCGCTAAAATTACCCTTCCTCAATTTTGCCTCCAGCTTTTTCTTTTCATGGGATGAAAAACTTCCCCGAGATGTCCTAGAACAGTCATTTCAGCAGACTTTGCAGATTATTTTAAAACAGAGTTTTCAGTTAAAAAAAAAAAAGCAGAGATAAAATTCACATTCTACACAAACACTATGTGACTCGCATGAATATTAACTTCGTGATGACATTTCATATGAGCAACTGAAAAGTACAAATATCAAGAAATAACCACAATTTATTTGAAAGACGGCTGGCTTGAAGAACATCACAATTGAAAACCCCAGCAATGCCTTGTTTTAAAAACATTACAATTATTTCCAAATTTGTGAAAAAAAACTTCATTTCATAATTTATTTGTAAATGAAAAAAAAAAAAAACCTTAAGGCTACAAAAGAGTGTTTTTTTAAGAGAGAGTGAATACTAATCGGTGTGATATTTTTTGCATTTTTGCACAAGAGTCCATATCATCTAAGTCCATATCATCCAAGGAGCATGTCGATCCTACTTTGCGGATGGATCTGCATACTCACGAATGAGCCTGTGAATAAAGTATGTGTGTATAAATCCTGTAAATACTGAAAGTATATACAGCATATATTTATAGCAGACATGAATGTAAACAGGTAGTAAAAAGAAACTGGGGTTTTGTGGCTCTATTATTTGCACTTTGTCCCAATAGAGATGGGAAGGTGATTGTTCAAAGTGTTTTGTATCCAAAATCATATATTGAATTTACACTAAATTTCCCATTATCATTTATTTTTTTTTTTTGGTGAATAACATCATGGTTGCTATTTATGGAACGGAATGACCCAAAAAGTAAGTATAAAGATAGATTACTTAATTATTTGAATGTTTTAATAAGATAATGATATTCATAGGCCAGCAATTATTGTGGTTCATTTATAAGTATAACTTAAAAATATATTTTCCATCTTTATATGGCTTTTAGTTGTTGATGACATTGATATTTCAAATACCCTGCAGCCCTACTCAGTTATATAGATGGTTAGGTGATACGCCCCACATTGTAATGAACTTTGCTCTAACTTAATGGAAATGTTTTGATTGTGTTAGTAATTGGCACAGAATAATATGGGCAGGCCACGTGTGAAAAATTTTATATCCAAAAAACACGAAGAGGCTTTCTGTAGAAGAAAATTAAGATTAGACTTACATTTGAATATTTAGATTTGATCCTTCTATTCCATGCTACAATGGTTAAAAAAAAAAAATGGCACTACATGTAGGCAAGAAAACAGCATGGACTTTGAAAATATTCCTGACACTACAACCCTAGACAGCACGTAAAGAAATTGAATATTTTCAAATGCAGAACTCAAAGTATATTACATACTTTTATTTCCCCAGATTAATACATTTCAGTCAGTTTTTGTGTTACTTAATGAATCACAGATAAATAGTATTTCGTGCCCAGGACGAAAATGTGCCATAATTTAAAAATAAAATATAACTATTACTTGTGTTAATACACAATCTGAGCTCATAGAAATATTTTTTTTTTTGCTTTAAAACAATATGATGATTTTGCAATCTACTTAAATCCACTTGTTTAAAAATAATTCTGCCAGAAATAACTGAACTGTGACTGTTTGGTGTAGTTTATGAAGATGCGCAGCTCATTTGGACAACTTTATTGTCTAGTAGCTTACAGAAACCGGCCATCTAGGCAACCTAAATTAGTGAATCAGCATCACTGTTCATCTGATGCCACTAGCTGGCTTGCGCTCTGCCCACTTGAAACTTCAGCTCAACAGTGCAGATGTTGGTGTGAACACTTGTATTGAATGTATCCAAAGACGTTGTTAGGCAGGTTTATTCTAAAAGAAGAAATGACGGGTTCTAATTTCCAGTGGCATTTCTCTGCAGCTTGTACAACAGGGAACAGTCATGAATCAGTGAGATATTTTAATGTCTTTTGAACAAATCTGTCATCATACCTCAGAGATTTAAAGTAGGCATGTTATTGCTTTGACATAGTTAAAAGAGACATTATCATTGCAATTATTCAAGTACCCCATAGCGTATGTTTAACCAAGCACAGATATCTCTTTAAATGTAATTATTTCAACCCAATGTTTTCAAGACTGAGTCCGGAGTGATTAACATGAGATGTGCTGTGGATTCTGTAGGCAAACTTTAGAGGACAATATTCAAGTACTTGAAAATTTGACTTTGACTATATGTTGAGCTAAGTGCTAGAATTTTTAAAGATACTGCATCATACTTTTACTATGAGCTTACCCTTGGAGAAAAGTGATGTGCTACTAAAATTAATATAAATATATAAATCTGCTGTGGGGTGGTGTGTTTTAGAGATTAGCTACCAACAGATGGAGTTACTATAAGTATAAAAGAATAAAAGTGAACTCTTCTTAGAAATTCTGAAATATTTATGTATGCTTACGTGTGTCCACATACACACCGTGGTTGAGAAGTGGAACAAGGCACAATGATGCTACTGATATGTCTGCATAATAAAACAGTGTGCTTCACAATTGCAAATGGTTTCAGCATTGTTTTACTATAATAATACAGATACCCTCTCCCCACCACACGCACACACACACACTACAGCTAGATGCACAAATGTGCTGTTCTGAGACTGTCAGGGAACGGTTACTCTCATGAGAAGAGACAGTTACAGCCAAAACATAGGGGATCAAGACATTATTTGAGATAGGAGTGGTGATGCAGGGAGCGTGGTTGAAGATAAGGACAATATGATCCTAATGAGAGAGTGAAATTCCTGTACGAGCAGGATGAATATGTTAGAGATCAGAACAAATTAAACTAGCCGTCAGTAGGCATGAGATTACAAGCTCTCATAAGTGGAATCACAATCTTCAGAGAGCCCCGTGGCTCATGTGACTTTGTCAAAGTGGTTGACATGGGTGACTGGGCAGATAGTGTCCCATTGTAGCGACCGTCCTAGGCATTTCAAGTTCTTTTCCAACAGTTGTCCCCAATCCACTAACTGCCAGGAAGCCACCCCTTTCATTCCAACCAATGGAAATTTTCCAGCAAGTGTCCACCTATTTTCTCTGGAGTGCAGTACTGTTCCATGACAAGAAGAAGTGGAGGCAGCTTTGATGATACTCACAGGTGTAGACTTTAATTGCTCGGGTCACGAACTGTTCTAAGGTCTACGGACATTTTCTAAATGGTAGCTGTTATGCATAGGTGATTGATAAAATTTAAATATAAGTGAACCAAAGCTAAATCAAGCATTCAGTTTCTCCATTAAACTAGTCACATTCTAAGTGTTGTAGAACCAACAGATTGACACCAATTATATCTTTCTATCATTTCAGAAGTTACTATTGGACAGTGTTGGCCAAAAGCACACAAGGGGCGCACATCTGGCCTCACAGTAAAATGCTACTTGAACATCTACATTCTGGACTGGAATAACTTGTTTGGGTTCCCGGATCCCAGCCAGAATTTAGGGGAATGAACCAGCAAGTGGAATCTCTTTCTCTTTCTCTTTCTCTTTCTCTTTCTCTTTCTCTTTCTCTTTCTCTTTCTCTTTCTCTTTCTCTTTCTCTTTCTCTTTCTTTTTTCTCCCTCCATCCCTTCCTCTCTCATCTTTTCCTCTCCCGCAACCACTTCTTTCCTCCTTTCCTGTTCATCTTCCTTCTCACATAAGTGAATACACACCTAAACAAACACTTCCAACGACAAACCACAGAGAGGTATTGCCTGTTCTTCCTCCATCTTTGTTTAAGTTCTTCCACAGTAAGCCAGTTCTCTCTGAACTTGAAAGTATGAAGAGTTGATCAACATCCCGTAGAATCTGAAAGTTGTTAGACCAGTTAGACCCACAGATGCAGCAACATCAGTATAAACTAACAAAAGTTATAGTAGTTACACCCCTAAAAAATTTGAGAAAGTGCTTTAGAGATTTCATGTTAAAGATTCTTCTCGGGCCCGGCGCGGTGGCGCAAGTGGTTAAGTCCTCGCCTTGCAACCCCGGGATCCCATATGGGCGCCGGTTCTAATCCCGGCAGCCCCGCTTCCCTTCCAGCTCCCTGCTAGTGGCCTGGGAAAGCAGTGGAGGACGGCCCAAAGCTTTGGGAACCTGCACCCGTGCGGGAGACCCGGAAGAGGCTCCTGGCTTCGGATCGGCATAGTATCGGCCCGTTGCGCTCACTTGGGGAGTGAATCATCGGACGGAAGATCTTCCTCTCTCTCTCTCCTCTCTCTGTACATCCGCCTTTCCAATGAAAAAAAAAAATAATAAAGATTCTTCTCTAAAAAAGGCTTCTCTAAATCAATAAACATTCTACGTTTGACAGGCAAAATTACATATTACATAGCTCCTATTCCCGAAGAAATTGATTCTACTTAGTGCCATGTGTCAGTGAATACCTCTGCATGCCTTATGTTTGGGAGGGTAAGACACAGAAAATGCTGGCTTTCACTTCATTCTTTGTCTTAGTTCAAAAACAGCTCCCTTTTAAGAGTGACTCCAAAAGTACATTTCAAAAGATGAGTTAGCAAACATATTTCACAAGTAGAGGGAACGTAGACATGCCATTTGGTAAGAAGACTGTTTCCAAATAAAATTTTAGAACTTGGCATCACTTCCATGCTTTTCTTCTTTAAGCCACTTTTTTTTCGAAACATATGTAATATTTCTTACACAAAGTGTGTGACAGCCAAGAAATTCAATTATTCTAAATCCATAAATCACAAGTTGTCAGTTACTCATAGCCGAGGAAACTAACTCAGAAAGTGTTGAAAATGTGCAGACCCAGTAAAATTATACAGGGCAACTTTGTTGTTCTTTCATTCCCTTTGCTGGGAGAACTATTTACTGAGCACCAGAA